GGTGAAAGAGCTAAATCGGCAGCTTCCATCACAGTCACAGTAAAAAATCACCTATAATATTAACAGGGAGTAGATAAATTGCAAAACATGGATTAGAATGATAAACAGAGCCAGGTCTAATATAGAATAGATAATGAGAGATGCTGAAGGGTTTTACTGGGCCATAAAATATGCAGGTTTGTTATGATAGTGTTATTGATTAGAATTTGTTATTGCAGCTCCAGAAAAATGCAGCAGAAGCTAGAACTTTGGTTACGACTGCCCTCTTGTATGTTTCTCTCCTAATATCTTTATTTCTGAAAAGTTCTTACGATATTTTTAATGCTTAGCTTTCATAAAAAGGAGGGATTTTAATAAAGCCATCTTAGAAAAGAAAATGACAATTTAATTCAATAATGTTCAACAAGTACTTCTTGCACGTTTAAGAGCAAGCCAGTAATGGTCTTTGTCTATACAATGCTTCTCCATATACTTATTGGCCTTTACCAAGAGCTCAATCTCATACTCTTGTGGGAGAGTTAATACTCATTTTAGCTTTGTTTTGGAAAGATACAGGAAGTTTCCAAAAGCTATCACTTCTTTGTTTATTCTTCTTTATAGAACCTGGACCCATAGACCCTCCGATTCTTCTGGATGTGAAGTCAAGAATGATGTTGGTCACCTGGCAGCATCCTTTAAAGTGCAACGGGGTCATTACCCATTACAACATCTTCCAGCATGGCCATCTCTGCTTGAAAACTTCTGGAAATGTCACTAATTGCACAGTGACCCACTTACGCCCGTACACTGCCTATAAGTTTCAGGTAGAAGCTTGCACTTCCAAAGGGTGTTCCCTCTCACCAGAGTCCCAGGCTGTGTGGACACTCCCTGATGCACCAGAAGGTATCCCAAGTCCAGAGCTGTTCTCCGATACCCCAACATCCGTGATTCTATCTTGGCAACCCCCTACCCATCCCAATGGCCTGGTGGAGAACTTCACAATTGAGAGAAGAGTCCAAGGGGAAGAAGAGGTTACTGTCCTGGTGACTCTCCCAAGAAGCCATCCCATGAGGTTCATCGACAAGACGTCTGCTCTTAGCCCGTGGACAAACTATGAATACCGCGTACTGATGAGCACTCTTAATGGAGGTACAAACAGCAGTGCTTGGGGACAAGTGACCACGAGACCCTCACGGCCCGCTGGGGTGCAGCCCCCTGTGGTGGATGTGCTAGGACCCGACGCAGCCAAGGTAAGATACAGAGTGTTCTGTCTCCTCCGCAGACTAGGAAATCTACCCTGGAGTGACTCTGTGTTGAACAGAGCCATCTACTGACAAAACGTACACATTTGTTGTTTCAGGCGTTCACTGGAGAAACTGGGTTTTGGCCTTTGGCCCAAACCATCTTAAATTCGATGTCAGGTTTTCATTTCTCCCTGTACCCCCTTAATTATATTGTTGAGATGCTTCCATTTGCCTCACACACCTGAAATGCTCTGAATGCCACCATGGGATGCTTAGCTTAACCACCACGTCAGATTTAAATAGATCAGAAAATGAGAAGAGGTGGGGAATTACGGAGGAAAGGATTAGCGTTTTAACAAAAGCTCCAGTTACCAATATTATGATTTTTTGAATGATCAAAGAATCAAAATGCTAGGGCAGGAAATAAAAATAGCCTGTTCCTGGGCTGTCTAGAAGCTGTTCAGTTATTCACTTCATCCTTCTGGGAATGAGCTCCGGAGGAAAGGGTAACTACCATTGTTTTGGCTTGCATACAAACTTCATTCAAGGGAAATTAGTGTAACCAAACAGGAGGGAGTTTTGCAGCTTAGAAGCCTCTTTTGTGTAAATACACACATGCTTCCATGGATTCAGTCTTGTACTACTGCCAAAAGCATTGGTACGGTAGCTTGCTCACCGGAGCACAAAACAAAGGACATTTGCATAACAGCAAAGTTCATCTGTTAAAATTATTCCTTGGATCTATGCTGTGTGTTCTCCCTCCCTCACGGAAAGCAAACACTAAGTGATGCTGAGGAGTGTAAATTGCTGAGGAAATTTAATTTAACTGACAAACTAAAATCTATTTTTTAAAGTCTAGATTAGTTAGTCTCAACATGAGAATGGTCAGAGCAACATCCCTTCTTGATAGAAATATCACAAGTGTATAGAATTCTGTTGATAAAACACTAAAAAGAAATTCATTGGAAGTAGGTGATGTATGATGTTTATCATATGAATTGGGTAATCCTAAGAATTGCTCTTCATTCAAAGAAAACACAAACCAAAAGAAAACCCCAAACTAACTTAGAGGTATTAATCATTCCTGAAATGGCTTTTCCTTTTAATCCTAAGAGAATTTTGCAAAATTCGGTGGCAGCACCAATCAATACAAAGTGACATAAACACAGCCCCTTCACAAAGGCAAAGCTGGCTAATGGACATTTTTCTGGGTTCTTTCTAACAAAAATGTAAGAACTAGGAAGATCTGAAAGATAACAAATATTTTCAGAAAAATGTTGGCTCAATGCACAATTCTACTTGATTCAACACCTATAAGTGATGATCAAAAGTATTCAAAAAGGGTGCCTGGCTTTTTATTTTTTTATTTTTTCTTTTCTTCCTGTTTTGATTTTTGTAACCTCATGTAGGAATGAAACATTCATGGCTTGTCAGCCTGTTAAAGTCAAGTCTGGGTTAGCTTGGCTTGGGAGCTGAATCTCACAGGCGCTCACCAGGTCAGGAATCCAAAAGTCTCTAAGAAGGTGCTTGAAATATAGAGACATTGTACACTTGTGATAATTTTTTTTAAATTTACACCTTTATTACTTCTCAGTTTATTTATAACTAGAAAAATCAAAAGTTATCAATGAAGAGAGTCATCAGGAGTATTCGGCTGAATCTAGTATTGGATTATGTATATTTAAATAATATTAAAACAACATATTTATGCTTCAGTATTATGGGCTCAGGTAGGCTCAGAAAGGTCTTTAGACTGCCAAAGTAGATGTTCGAGTGACATAGCTTATCTGGTAAACAGAGGCAGTGTGGCACTAATACAATGATTTCTTTTTATAAAATACAGACTTGTGGTTGCCAGAGGGGCGGAGGGTGGGAAGGGATAGACTGGGATTTCAAAATTGTAGAATAGATAAACAAGATTATACTGTATAGCACAGGGAAATATACACAAGATCTTATGGTAGCTCACAGAGAAAAAAATGTGACAATGAGTGTGTATATGTCCATGTATGACTGAAAAATTGTGCTGAACACTGGAATTTGACACAACATTGTAAAATGATTATAAATCAATAAAAAATGTTTAAAAAAGATAACACTTAAAAGTTAAAGTTGCAAATAGGTAAAATATGGGGAACAACAGAAGGATGGTCACTAATGACTTGGTAAAGACATGTTTTCAACATTTATCACGTAGTCATTCCAAATATTAGGGTGAAGAAAATTGTCAATAATATTGTCAACAATAATAATAATTTCAGTTCTACTAACATTTATTGAGCATCTGTAAGTCTTCATGAGTGCCTCTTTTAGGCACGGACGATACAGTAGAGACCAAGACAAAATCCTCCCTTCACAGAACATACATTTTAGACAAAGCAACGTGATAAATATATAAAACGCCCAGAGTGAAAAAGACTTGGAGGCAAAAGCAATTCAGGGTAAGGGGAGTGAAGCACACCCGCCACCAGGCCAGTGGGTAGAGAGCAAACGCACTGCCACGTCACCCTAGTTCTTCCTGCTTTGCCCCAGGCGGTCTTTTCACCACCACACCCTCCGAACTTGCGGTGTAATAGGGTAAACAGGGAAACTTCACATACTCAGGCCAGCGAGAAAGCAGCCCATAGTAGCACCTCAGCAAGTGTAAAAGGTGTGCTATGACTTGGCATAGATGTGAGCTTTAAGAAGGGAAAGTTGCATGTTGAATTCATATTCTTAGTATCTTATCTGAGTATAAAGAAAACAAAATAATATATAATGGCAAAGAGGTTGTGCTTTCTGACAAAGTGAAAGCCACATACTTTGATTTGGTATTCAGTCACTTAAGAAAATTCATTTCGTTGTATAAAGTTGGTAAAAAAAAATACTCTACAAAAACGTTAAAACTATAAACTAATTTCATATTATGACTATAGACCCTGAAACTTCTAAATAAAATGTTAGCAAATTGAATTCAGTATATTAAAAGAATGATATATTAAGAAAAATCTGGTTTGATTCCAAAAATGTAAGGATTTGATTCAAAAAAAAAAAAACTTGTAAGGTTCAGCAGCCATTGCTAACAAAAATTCAACATAAAATCAGATTAGGAAAAAGTCAATTTATAAATTTGTTACACTAAAGTTTTGAGTACAGTTGAGGACTAATAAGGATAAAATGTAGACATAGCTAAGTTTTATAACCGTGACACAGCAAAAAATCTTTTTGCGGATGGCACGAGCCTCTGAGCTGTGATGGCCCCGTTCACATCCCCAGCTGTCACAGCTGAAGCAGAACGACAGAGAGGCCCGCAGTTCTCGGCATCTCAGGTGGCACAGTCCTCTCTCGGCTCAGATCACCAAAACCACCAGTCTTGGTGTGTGCACCGCAAGGAACCGTCCTGCACCCCCCGACTGTGTCCACACATAGCTTTACTAGAGCGTGTACTCTTAGCGTTGCCTGTTGACAGGTATTTTACTAAACCGCAGTAAAAGGAATTGTCTTAATCATCATTCTCACCTATTTTGGAAGACAGACTGGTCTTTGATATCTGCTTAAATCAAACCATTAAAAAATTATAAAATCTTATACAAGGAAATAAAATAATAAGGACGACTAATACTGAGTTCCTATCAAGTTCCAGGAGTTACTTTCATTGAATTCTTACTACAGCCCTATCAGATAACTGCTATTATGTTCCCATTTCACAGGCAGGGAAACTGAGAATTGAGAGATTAAATAACCTACTTAAGATTTCAAAAGGAGTAAGAGTTGGAGTTCGCACCCAAGCAATAATTGTTCCAAGAGTCCATCCTGTTCTCATCTTTGCACTGCCTCAAATGGAGAATGGGCTGTCTTCCTGGATGGAAGGATTTAATTCCATAACAAGTCAGTCCTTCCAGAGTTAACATACACACCTAATACTGTTCACATCAGAATGCCAATAATGTTTGTGTCTTGTTTTGTTTTGTTTCAAGCAAGATAAGATGATTTTAAACTGAAAAAAAAAAGGCTAAATCATTGAAATATTCTAGAAAATTATAGAAGGAGGAAAGAATAGTGAAGTAGCATCTTTCTGAGTATTTACACTTACTGTAAAGCCACAGAATCACAACAATATGGTTTTGGCATAAGAATAGACAGACAGTCATTGGAACAGACTGAAGGGTTTAGAGAACAGATACAAGTATACATGGGAAGTTGACCTATTGTAAAGTGACATTCTATTTCGCTGAGAAAGGATGGCTTGCTTGAAATATGATACTGGCCTAACTGATAATCCATGTGTGAAAAAATAGATCTATCCTGTCATAATTAAATGCTAATAAATTAAAATTTAGTGTTAAAAATTAGAAAGCTTAGGAAGAAAGGAATTTTATATGATTTAGTCATTAAGGAGCTCTTTCTAGAGAAAAACAAAACTCTACAGCCTTAAAAAAAAGATAGTCATATTTAGCTAGAAAACAATTTGGTTTTTGTAAGACATAAGATTTCTCACAAAAAAGTTGACCTTCAAAAGATTTATTGGGAAAACACATCTTTAATACATTATAGAAAAATAATTTCCTCATAATATACAAAGAATTTCTAATAATTTATGATAAAAGGCAACTCCATAGAATACAGAGTATAAATTATAGATAAATAGTTTAAATAAGAGGCTATACAAATAGCCAATAATATTTGAAAATATTTATATCTTACAAAAAGTCAGGGGAATGCAAATTAAAGAAATAATAAAGCAATTTGTGCAAAACCAAAAGGAGTAGTCATTTACTTTTTTCTTCTAGTTTTATTGAGACATAATTGACACACAGCACTGTATGAGTTTCAGGTGTACAGCATAATAATTTGACTTATATACGTCATGAAATGATGACCACAGAAAGTTTAATGAACATCCATCATCTCATATAGATACAAAATAAAAGAAAAAAATTTTTTTTCTTGTGATAGAACTCTTAGGATTTACTCTCTTAAAAACTTTCATATATAATGTACAGCAGGGTTAATTATTTTAGTCAAATTGCACATTACATCCCAAGTACTTATTAATCGTATAGCTGGAAGTTTATACCTTTTGACCCCCTTCATGAATGGTGTCCCCCACCCACTCCTGCTTCTGGTAACCACAAATCTGATCACTAAGAAGAGTAGTAATTTCAAGAAATTTTTGAGGACCCAGCTATTGGACACTTTCTTTCATTGTTTGTGATAAAGTGGCTTCAACCTTTTTGGGAAGTAATTCATCACTAATGGTTAAAATTAAACATATATTTTGGTATAGCAATACTTGGTAATCTATATAATAAAAACTAAGTGCAATGGAATGCATACTTGCATTTCCAAATGCTGTTTTTACACTAAAGTAATGTCAATAGGGCAATAACTGAATAATTGGTTTTCAACCATGAATGGAATATTATGCAACAGCAAAAATGATAGATTGTGTCCATGGTCTATTGTTAAGTGTGAAAAGCAAGTTGCAGCGTAATAATGGATGGGTATAAAATATAATCATTTTGTTAAAAAATTAGAGAAAGAAAGCTTAGCTATGTGTGAATATATTTACTGTGTTTATGTGAGAAAGAATGGAAAAATAGATTCTAAGATATCACCTTTTTACCCTAAGAAGGGTGGGAGTTGGGAGGGATGGGAGGAGGTCAAAGAGAAGGGTCATAATTTAATTTCCTTTATTTATCTTTGTTTTTTCCTCTGAATACAAAATGCATATTGAATATCAGAAGTTTAAAAATTAATATTAACAATTTTTTTAATTTGCATTTTTTATTGAAGTATAGTCAGTTTACAATAGTGTGTCAATTTCTGGTGTACAGCGTAGTGTTTCAGTTATACATATACATACATACATTCATTTTCATATTCTTTTTCACTATAGGTTACTACAGTATATTGAATATAGTTCCCAGTGCTATACAGTAGAAACTTGTTGTTTATCCACTTTATATATAGTAATTAGTAGGTGCAAATCTTGAATTCCCAATTTATCCCATCCCACCTTCATTCCCCCTGGTAACTATAAGTTTGTTCTCTATGTCTTTGAGTCTGTTTCTGTTTTGTATATAAGTTCATTTGTGTCTCTTTTTTTTCTAGATTCCACGTATAGGTGATACCATATGGTATTTTTCTTTTTCTTTCTGGCTTACTTCACTTAGAATGATGACCTCCAGTTCCATCCATGTTGCCGCAAATGATGTTATTTTATTCTTCTTTATGGCTGAGTAGTACTCCACTGTATAATTATACCACATCTTCTTCATCCATTCATCCAAATGTTGATGGACATTTAGGTTCTTTCCATATATTAATATTAACAGGTTTTAAAGGAAAGGAAGAGATTTTGAAGGAGAACCTTAATTGTATTTCAACAAATGTTTATTGTGCACTTTATTCTGTATGAGAATTTTTGCCAGGGAGTCAGTTGTTGAGAGGACTTACAAATGGAGTCAAAGATTTTCACATTCTCTTGCCTTGTGGTCATCCATATTTTGTATTAATTAAGCAATCTTAGAAGGATAAACTCTTATATCTAGATATGAGAGCAAGGATTGTCTCTTCACATTAGGTACAAGGAAACTGAGGCCCAGAGATGTTAAGTATTTTGCTGAAAGTCTCACAGCTCTGGTTGAATAACCTGGATCAAATATCAGGGCCACTTATTCTTGGTCCATTCTCAACCCATTATATCAATCTTAATAAATACTCTTATTCATAGAGTTCTTCAGTAGGGTTTGATGGAGTTCAAGAAATTAGAAGTAAGTTACAATGTTTATGGGTATCACTTTTTTCAGGCCTGAAGCCAATCAATTAACCTGCATTCATAAATTTTTGCTTACAGCAGGAATCTTTGCTGGTGCCCTGATTATTTAGGGCCACCCTTCTGGGATTTGAGTGGGTTGAGAAAAGCAGTGGCTTCTTAAACAGCTACCCATCTGTCCTATTTTCTGCAAATTTATAACTAAACAGAAAAATGGAAATCTAAGCAGTTAAGAACCACCCAAATAAATCACTATGGTAGGCAAAGCATCTCTGAAATAAACATTTTATTCCCAGCCAGAAACTACAGTTCTGTTTAAAAGATTACAGTATAAAAGTATTGTTTTAGAGAACACACCTCTTGCCTAATAGGTCAGAGACATGCCCTTTGGTCTGAGTTTCTGGGGCTGCAACAATAATTTATAATCCTTCCTATGAACAATAGATATATAAAAAACCACGGGAAATTAAACTGACTAGAAGAGTTTTAATCACATATATTTTGGCCACACTATAGTAAATGTAGTCTTAAGCATGGAAAAATTATAATCCAGTATTTAGCTAGCTGGCTTCTTAAAAAGCTTGGGCACATTTATTTTTGATAATAGCTCCAGGATATTTTCAGGAGGGTGATCACATTAGATGCCGCTTCTGTTAGCCAACTGACTATAATGACAATGGCTTTCTTCATCTTGTTATAAAAGTCCTTCTACAAATTTTCTGTAGAAGCAGATTCGTGTCTTCCAACTCAACACTGTCAAAAAGATAGATCTTCCTAAGCCTGTAACTTTCTAAGTGAGAAAAAATAGCTAATTTCTGGATGTAAACATTTACAGTGGAGAAAATAGGGATTTTGTTTTTTTTTTTTTAGATCTTCAAATGGCTGTCTCCAGAGTCATTACATCAAATCTCTTCATCTCAACTGCATAGGTATCTTATTCAAGTTTTATCTTATGAATGCTCTTCTTAGCCTCAGTAACTGAGTTCCAAATCAGTTCACTCTCAGCTCAACTGCTGACGCAGACTACCTCCTGAGTTTGAATTCTTTCAAGTGCTGTCAGGCCTTGACCTTAGCTCTCAGAGTATTCTGGTTCCAGAGACAAGTGGTATTCACGTGTGAGTCAGGTAGAACTGAGCTGGGATGACCCTTCCATTTTTCATTTACAAGTACCAAGAAGCCCCCTAAGTTTGATCTTGACTCATTTTTCGAGTCCACAAAGAGCACTGCACCTCAGAAACAAGGAGAATCCCAAATCCACTCTACCAACTGTGCTCGCGTTAGGCTTCTTTGGTCTTTCCTACGTCCAGGAAAATCCTCTATGTTCATAAGGAACAACGCGTCTAAAACTTCTCTTCACCAGCACAGTGTGGAGTTCTTCTAGAAGTTTTAAAAATTAGTCAGGATTTCAAGCCATGTAGTAAAATTTAAGTAGATGTCAGGTCCTTGTTAACTACACATTAGGACAGTAATCATTAAGTAGCTGCCCAACTGACATGTGGGAGGAGCCCATTTTGCCACCAAGTGTTAGTAAGAACCAGAATCTCAGGTCAGATTCCTTCTGGAAGACATTTTTTCTCTTTGATTGAAGATAGAAAATTTTGGTCCACCCTTTTCCATTCTAATCTTTCTATTATTCCTTTCGGACTTTGATTTTGTATAGAATTACCACTATAGATATTAATATATCACTTGGTGGAAAAATCAGTTTCAAAATAATTGTATGCTAAGGAAAAATTTAATCCAGTTGTCCATGACTGCCATTACTTACTGAACTCCCATCCATCTCTGGGTAAGTGGCATTTAATGGGCATACACTTTAAGGCCCTCCTGTCAGGAAGCTTGCAGTCTATCTGGGAGATGAAATACATAAAAAAAATTTAAGGAACATTGCAAGGCAACCATAAAAGAGACAAGCCAGGAGAGCATATAAATAAGTGATTTTTTTAATGGCCTGTGCACATTTTTCTTGGGTCCTTTTTCCCCACAAGAGCATGAGTGGGTTAGCACCATGCCCTTACAATATTTAACCAGAAAGGAAAAGGAATGTTAAACATTATTACAAAATTTTGTTGTTTCTTTCTTCTGATGTTCATGTCTGTGACTTAAACAGGATCATCCTTTGGTTGCCGTTTTAAAGCTTCCCACACATCTCTTACCTTTGAGAATAGGATGTGTTGTTATCGCTTTACCTGCTGTATTATGCACTAGTGAGAGTCAGGAACACAACTGTGCGTTCTCAAAAAATGCAAATAATGTCCTATGTGCCCTCACCACCATCCAAAAAAAGAGTAGTGACATATTTAGAGTACACACTAATAACGCAAAGCAAGGAGTTCTGATGCTTCATTTAATTGAGTTATAAACAAGAAAACTATCAAATCCTGCTGCTGCCCCATTGGTGCATGTGGATGTGTGAATTTCCTCCATGTGTGTGCTCTGTGTCCTTCAGGACACCCACAGTGGAGATGAATCACTAAGCTGGGTAAGAGTTTGACAGTCTGAGAAAGTATCCACACTGAAAGCCAGGCCCAGGAAACAGGATTTCATTTAGTTCCTGGTGCACTGCTAATTGAGCCGAACCCCTTCATTACTGTCTAGTGCAAAGGGCTAAGTTGACAGTAGGTATTTAGGAAGGAACTTCACTGAAAACAAGAGAGAGCAGAATTCTGGGTCTTGTGAGCTACCGTTGCTCCGCTCCTGTTCTGTCACACTGATTCTGAGTTGGTCTTTGATTTCAGGTCACTTGGAAGCCCCCACTTATGCAGAATGGAGACATACTCAGCTACGAGATTCGCATGCCTGAGCCTCACGTCACAATAGCCAATGTTACTTCCTCTGCATTGAGTCAAGTCATTCCTCATCTGATTCCGTTCACTAACTATTCTGTCACCATTGTGGCTTGCTCAGGGGGCAATGGGTATCTAGGAGGGTGCACAGAGAGTTTACCCACCCATGTGACCACCCATCCCAGCCTCCCCCAGGATCTTAGCCCGTTGTCAGCAATTCCGCTAAGTGAATCATATGTTGGGATTTCTTGGCAGCCACCATCCAGGCCAAACGGACCCAATTTGAGGTAAGAAAAAGTATCTGTGCCTTTGGATTTTGTTAGCATCTTGTCTCTCCAGGAACGAAAGAAGGAATCTTTTTCTCACATACGAACGTAGAACTAATTCCTTAATAGATATTCCTCACTTGTATGTTTCATAGAGTTTCATATTGTGTTTCTTGACTTACATGGAACCATGCAAGTTCATCAAGGTAAAAATATCACAATATTGTGAGGAACTAAAACCCTTGAAACAACAGTCACTGTTCTCTGATTCTCCCTGTCTTGATTTTCAAAGTATATTTTTTATTATATGTTAAGCAAGCTGGATGCATGTTCTAAATGGCACATTTGCACAGATACACCTCAGAATTCCAAAGCTAACACAATCATTCTTTAGCACATCATTATTATCTGGAAGCTTGTAAAGAATGTGGTCAGGCCTATGAATAAGATGAAAGAAAAGAATTGTGAGCCCGAAATGGCTTTATATCAATTTGACACTTCGCCAAGACTCTGGAGTGGATAATAATATCATTGTTTGTAAAGTACTGATGGTCGAAGTCTTAGGAAATCATTAACTTTATAAGCTTTTTGTATTTCTCCTTTGTGTGAATTGGCAATAAAGTTTTGGCAAATCTGACAGAGAAGAAATCTAAAATGTCATTTTACTGACAATAGTAAAATCTGAATGAAGCTAATTATTTCCGTTTGCTACGTAGATGCCACTTGCACCAGAACAAAAAAAAAAAAAAGAAATTGAGAATCTGGGAACAACTTTGTAACCGAAAATTAAGATATTTTCTTTGTGTTTACACATGCACACCACATATTCATGCCAGGAGACAACCTGAATTTTGGTAATAACATTAGTTGTGATAATCCTGATGTTTCTGCTTGTCTTCTGCTTTAGATATGAGCTTCTGAGACGTAAAATCCAGCAACCACTTGCATCCAATCCCCCAGAAGATTTAAATCTGTGGCACAATATTTATTCAGGAACTCAGTGGTTTTATGAAGATAAGGGTCTTAGCAGGTGAGATTACAAAAACTATAAAAACAAATGTTGCCATTTAGTTTGGGGCATGTTGAATAGTTCAAAGAACCTTAGTGTCTTCATTGTGTGAGCGAGTTATCAGCTATGCAATAAAACGTGTTTGGTTATTATCTGTGGCATTAATCATCGAACTGCGACAGTCAGCTTGTTTAATATTTGCCATCTTAACTGCATGCTGAAAATAAGCCCTTTGAAGTCGAATTTGTAGATGTTTGAGCCTTAACCTGTTGCCTTTGTCACAGCTCTTACCAGACACGTAATAGGGGAATCTGGAAATACTGAGCGTGTATGAAACTGGGGAAGTTTGGGACACTTGTAAAATGCTTGCTTTTCCAGGAAATAGTAATGTCATTGATTCAGTCCACGAAAATTATTTAGTTATTAGGCTGAGAACTTGAAAGAATTCAATCTAGAGTTGGAAGAAACCCAGAAATGGGCAAATATAGGCAAGGTCGGAAAAGAATCCTGCCTGGGAGAGTTAGGAGAGCTGGATTCGGTTTCACCTGCTGTTGCAGGACTAGCTCTGTGGCCTTAGGTGAGTCGCTTGACTTCTCTGGGCTTTACCTTTGTTGTCTATAAAATAAGGATCTTGTGACTTCTAAACCTTCAAGAATCCAAGCAATGTAATCAAATTGAAAAAAAAAACCCACAAGTATTATTTTATGAAAACTTTTCAAACATATATTTCAATAACTTTTCTATCAGGTTGATTATTTTTCTAGACTCACCACTGACTAGCTCTAGTCTGAGCTCTGTTTATGACCTGGCCTTGTCTCCCAATCTCCCTCAGCGTCTCCCCATCACTGCCTTTTCCCCTGTTTTCCTCCTCTAAAGCCTGGCCTAGGTTTCCTGGCGCACTCTCCTCCTGGTCTGAACCAGCTGCTTCTTCAGCGTATTTTCATAGCACACCGCTTCTGTGTCACTGTCGTCTTTGTCCTGGTCTGGCTACACCCCACTTTATCGTCAGATCCGCCGTGAACAGGGTCTTGTCTTCACAGCTTCTGATATCCAATCCCCACTTTAGTGCCTGGTATACAGTGAGCACCCAAGAGAAGTTAAATGAAAGGCTATGTTTAATAATATGTATGGGGTTGGTTATTTAATTTCTCTGTAATTTAGGAATATGAGCCATGGGATTATTATCTTTGGGGAATGCGTAAAACTTGAGAAAATTCTCCTGTCCTTCTGAAAGGGTCGTGGTGGAAAGACAGTCTAGGTATTGTGAGGTTCTTGAAGGGAGGCAGCAGGTAAACCTAATGAAGCAACAGAATGAACCATAGCAAACTGCCATTTTTGGAAGCCAAAAAGATCAGTTATTAGTATATCCTTTTTTCATATCCAAAAAAAATTTTTTAAGACAAATGACAAACTAGAGGATTATTTGCATTATGTATATCAGACAATGGGTTAAAATCTTTTACATGTAAATAGCTCTTTCAAATCCTAAAAAAAAAAGATGAACTTCATATAGGCAAGGATATGAACAAGATATTTTTTAAAAAGAAATACAAATGTCCAAAAGCATATAAAAATGTTCAGCCTCAGTGTTGATGAAATTCTCATTAAAACCATGATTCTTCTAAGAATCAGTCTGGTTTTATAAATGAAAAGCCCTGAAACTGGGTACACTCTGACCCAGAACTCTCTCATTCCTAGGAATTTATCCTAAGTAAATCACTATGTGTCCCCTTTTTTCAGATTCCACATATGAGTGATATCATATGACATTTCTTTTTCTCTTTCTGGCTTCACTTAGAATGACAATCTCCAAGTCCATCCATGTTGCTGCAAATGGCATTATTTTATTTTTTGTGGCTGAGTAATATTCCTTTATATATATGTGTGTGTGTGTATACATATACATATACATATACATATACATATACATATACACCACATCTTCTTTATCCAGTCATCTGTTGATGGACATTTGGGTTGTTTCCATGTCTTGGCTATTGTACATAGTGCTGCTACGAACATTGGGGTGCATGTATCTTTTTGAGTTGTGTTTTTCTCTGGGTATATGCCCAAGAGTGGGATTGCTGGATCATATGGTAACTCTACTTTTAGTTTCTTAAGGAACCTCCATACTGTTTTCCACACTGGCTGTACTAATTTACATTCCCACCAACAGTGTAGGAGGGTTCCTTTTTCTCCACACCCTCTCCAGCATTTATTGTTTGTAGACTTTTTAATAGTGGCCATTCTGACTGTTGTGAGGTGATAGCTCATAGTTTTGGTTTGCATTTCTAACAATTAGTGATGTTGAGCATCTTTTCATGTGCTTGTTTGCCATCTTTGGAGAGATGTCTGTTTAGGTATGCTGCCCATTTTTTGATTGGATTGCTTGGTTTTTTTGGTATTAAAGTGTATGAGCTGTTTGTATATTTTAGAAATTAGTCCTTTGTCAGTCGCATCATTTGAAAATATTCTCTCCCATCCTGTAGGTTGTCTTTTCATTTTGTTGGTGATATCCTTAGCTGTGAAAAAGCTTTTAAATTTAATTAAATCCCATTTGTTTATTTTTGCTTTTATTTTCATTACTCCAGGAGCTGGTTCAAAAACTACATTGCTGTGATTTATGTCTAAGAGTGTTCTGCCTATGTTTCCCTCTGGGAGTTTTATAGTATCTGGTCTTATGTATAAGTCTTTAATCCATTTTGAGTTTATTTTTGTATATGGTGTTAGAGAATGTTCTAATTTCATTCTTTTACATGTAGCTGCCCAGTGTTCTCAGCACCTCTTATTCAAGAGACTGTCTTTTCTCCATTGCATTTTCTTGCTTCCTTTGTTGTAGATTAATTGACAGTAAGTGTGTGGGTTTATTTCTGGACTTCCTATCCTGTTCCATTGATCTATGTGTCTGTTTTTGTAGCAGTACCATACTGTTTTGGTTACTGTAGCTTTGTAGTATAGTCTGAAGCCAGGGAGCGTTATTTTCCCCAGCTCCATTCTTCTTTTTCAAGATTGTTTTGGCTATTTGAGGTCTTTTGTGTTTCCATACAAATTTTAACATTTTTTTGTTCCAGCTCCTTGAAAAATGTCATTGGTAGTTTGCTAGGGATTAACATATCCTTTTTTTCAACCTAAATGATCATGGTTGTCCAACTGTTCTCCACTGTTTTCAATTTATTATTTACTTAATCCAGCACCACTATATAATGATCATTTCAGTTGAAAAAAATTCATTTCATTCAGCTATTTCTTTTTGCTTAGTATACACTGAGAGGAGCAATGAAAAATGGATAGCCTAGCCCTTGCCCTCAAAGAGCTCACAGTCTAGTGTAGGAAACCACACACACACAGACACAAACACACACACACACATTTGTACATGCATTAATTGCTCTTATTACTGTTAACTACAGCATCACCAGCACTGCCTAGGGGGAAACAGTTTGGAAAAGTAGCTGTCTGTGATTTGTGAACTCTTAAGCACCTGAACTATAGCAAATTCCAAAATAATTAAGACTTGATTATTTAACATTCCTGAATCTGATTTTTAGTCATGATACCATTAGCAGAAAAAGAGAGTAAGTCTCAGAAAGTTACTTTTGTTTCTTCATAGAAGCAGTGAAAACTTATTAAAGAATTAGGACCAAGGCCAAAATTTTATGATTGAATTTTTAGTGATGGTTGAAAGGATTTTTAATGAGAAGTCCAAATCTAAGATCTAAGGTAAGAAATTCAGTTAAATCCCCACAAATTAAATTGAAGCACAAGTTGACATAAACGTACTGATGACAACTCCTTCTAGAAAGGAAGGGGATCTGTAACAAAATGTGCTGAGCTGGTATTTTGACTAGCCTCAGGATATGAAATGTCTAAGCATATATATTTTTTTCTGCTAGGACTAGGAAAGATTTTTTAAGTTATTCAAATAAACCATTATGACCCATGTAACCAGCTTGTTATAAAAAACAATATGCATTTTTTTCTAAAATTTAAAATAAGTGGCATGAGTCTTCATACTGTGAAACCTTTTTTTCTAGCCCTCTACCCTTTGTAAGTGCAAAATAAGCAGGGGCCCTTTCAGCCCAAGGGAGGTTCTCTCTCAAGTCTGAGAAAACTGGAAATTAGTCCACTAGTGGGCGCTGTGTGCCATGCCAGTCTTCCTGATTAAAATAAATGGTCTTATATGGTGGATGCTGTCATTACCCACCTTGACTGCAAGCAGCCAGGCTGGCCGCCCCTCCTGGTAGGCGAGCATCTCTCCCAGCACAGAAGGAAGGACAGGAGCAGTCAGCCCGCCTTCCTGTACACCTGTGTTGCTGCCTCCTTAATAAGCCTACCCTTTGACTTGTATTTGTCTTGTTGGCTTATTTGTTTGACTGTTTTTTTAGGCATCTTTGAATTCTAATGTCTTTAGGACAAATATATCATTTCCTCTTCCACCCAGACTCCTTATTTCCTTCATAACTTACATCTTCATAAATAAAGGGACCAGGGAAGTGTCTCTTCCCATCCTGATCTGATCTCACCAATAGCTACATCTGGAATCAGCAACTGGAATGTCTCTTGATATAAAAAGTTAAATTAACTTTAGATTCACTGGGTATCCGTTTATGAATATGTTTGTGACAGCAAGTGTAAACTGAAGTTAATTCCTCAGTCACATGGTCTTCTTTGGCTAGCTATATATTCTAATACATAGAAAACACATCACTTTCATCTTAAATGTGATTATATTCTGAAAGTCACGTCAATGTAGTAGTTATTTTTGCCTTTGTATCTCCACATACAAGATGAAACTTTGAGCTAGTTATCCAGATAATTTAGTTTAAACAAAAATATTTGTGTTCTTATGATTATCTGAGGTAAAGGGTGATTTTGTCTGAGTTAAGCAGCTAGCTGCCTGGCTACTGAATTTTCCTGTCTGTGTAAACACAAACTCGGTGTCACTGTGGGTTGATACGTCTTGTCAGTTTCTAACTTTTCTTCCTTAATAATTCTGTGCAAAGTGGCCGAGTTATAGTTGT